AAAAAAATGTACTGACCCCAAACTTTTGAACGGTAGTGTATATTGTTAGAAAATATTTATATTTTAAATAAATGCTCTTTTTTTGTTTTATTTTTATACTTTTTATTCATCAAAGAATCCTGAAAAACAGTATCACAGGTTCCAAAAAAATATTAAGCAGCACAACAGTTTCCAGCACTGATAATAAGTCAGCATATTAGAATGATTTCTGAAGGATCATATGACACTGAAGACTGGAGTAATGATGCTGAAAATTCAGTTTTGCATCACAGGAATAAATTAGATTTTAATGTATATTAAAATAGAAAAACGTTATTTTACATCATAATAATATTTCACAATATTAATTTTTTTCCTGTATTTTTGATCAAATAAATGCAGCTTTGATGAGCATAAGAAACTCATTTAAAAAAACATTCAAAATCGTTCTGTTCCCAAACTTTTGAACGGTAGTGTATATATATATATATATATATATATACAGTATACACACACACACACACACACATATATATACACCAACAAAATAAATAAATGGTAAAAATTACATATAAATATATTGCTTAAATATACAAGTAAATATATTTAAATTAAAATAACCTATATTAATAATACCCTCTCAGAAAAAAAGTCACTGGAGCAGTATCTTTTCAAAAAGTACTAATATGTGCCATTTAGATGCTAAAATGATCCTTTAAGTTACATATTTAGGGGTAAATAAGGTACATAAGTGTACCGTTTGAAAAGGTACTGCCGTAGTGGGAGCTTTTGTACCTTTTTTTCTGAGAGTGTTTGAAAATGTACGTTTACCCCAAAATGCCAGCTATGAAAACAGACTAAAATCTGTACAGTAAGTTTATTTTAGGGTAATTATAATTTAGGAATTTAAGACTTACTTTAGGGTCGAGGTCGAGCTGGCTGAGAGTGATTCCATTCTCATCCGTGATTTCTGTCATTTCTGACAGGTCGTCATCCTCGTATTCATTCAGACTGATGTCATGGGTTAACCTGCAAAGTGCCAGCACACCCACACAGATAGTGACACACTACGTCATCCCTCCACGAGGCCATCGCTAGACAGTCATACACAGAGAGGGCACGGCTTGCCTGCGCATCTGATAACTTCACGACTACTGCAATGCTGTAACTTCTAGGCGTATTACTCATTGATCTATAAATGCAAATAAAAATGTAAATAAAATAAGAACATGTGTGTGTTTATGTATGTATATATATATATATATACACACTTTCTTTTAAAGTAGTTTGTTTAGTCATTTAATGTAATCCTGGAGTTATCAGTTGGTGTTCTGCTAACTTTAAGTTTATTTAACTTTAAGTCTATTTAATAAACCTTTAAATCAATTTATATGTATATACAAACAAATTTACATAAAATAATATTACAAGGTTATATTCAGAATTATGTAAGTTATGCATATGGAAATCTGTTGTAAGAAAGCACAAGCAAAAACAAACAATTCTTCTGTTTTTTTTCCTAAATGTAAATGTTAAATGCTGATTTAACACATTGTATGAACTTGCTTAGTGACAACAACATTCTTACTCTACCTAATGTTTTGAATAAAGTTGTTTTTCAGTATTCTAATACCCTCTGTCTGCAAGCTAGCCATTTACTGATAAATTAAGCTTTAAAAGCACTCCGACATACTAAATTTGCAGTGCTTCCTGTTTATATACCTGCAATTGTGCAGCCGCCACATTTCTAGATTGATAAGATGAACAAGACAATTTAACATAAATTTAGTCAATCAAATGAACCTAGTAGAACTATAAGCTTCTTTTTGCAGACCACAGTCATTATTTTATCTTTTGATTATGATTTTGTACCATGCAAAAGACTCAAAGCAAGCCTATTTTTAGATCAGAAACACTAAACACACACATGAAATTACAAAACCTTCACATCTCATTCAGTCCCATCCATAATCCTACATATATTTCCTTCATGCACACCAAACTAACATTTTGGCCTATTTCAGAACACACAAGCTGATCCAAGGATCGCAAAAAGGCCATGCAGGGGACACGGCTGCATCACTACGGTACCATTTCTCCCACTGTTCCTCCATCCAGCTGTCCCCATCCTCTCTGGAGTCCATGGGCAGGCTGAGCACCATCTGCAGGGCAGGGCAGGGCAGGATGCCACTGGACCCTTCTTGGGGGGAAATCGATGGAGCCAAGAATTATGCCACTTTCTTTCTTAACCACCCGTCCGGCACTCCACACAGAAACGTCCTCCACGAGGGTCCTTGGGGGGGGGTTACATCAGCCACGGGAAGCTGTAGTGGACGTCCTCACTTCTCCTCAAAAACATTCTACCGTACACCCCTGACACTCCTTGCTCTGTGTGCATCCTCCAATGGAACCATTAAAGTCAGCAGCGGATGACTGAGAGAGAGAGAGAGAGAGAGGGGGGCGTAATCTCCACTAAAAGGGTTTGCCACCCCAGTGATTGATGGTCCAGATCAATGCGGCTCAAGTTGCCACCTCCACACAAGTGCAGGCCAGTTTGGTGAAGAGATGCCTGCTGGGAATCAATGGCATTGATAACCAGATGAAAATATCTGGAAAGCTTCCTGTGATATATATTGCATCATTAAAGTTCATTAGGAACTCCTCCTAAACCCTGTTAATTAGATTCAGATCTTCTTGCATTTCATTAATGGAAAAACAAGCATGTTATTGACGGATCATATATGCGTCCTCTTATTTTACATTGTGCGGTGGGGTGATTGCAGATAACATGCGTTATTTACTTGGAAGAGATCCGTTTCATTGCGGGACTCTGCAGAAAATGGAGGACGAAGAGAGAGAAACAGGCAGAGATAAGAGTCTCTCCATGGTCATTATGCTCTCTATAAGAGCAGACATTAGCTGACCTGGACAGGAGCTGAGAGCTCTTTCCTCATTAGCACAGCTCCCACAGGACGCCATTCACATCAGCTCTATTGCATTACTACGCTGCCAGCCTGAGATAAACACCAGCACACTGCTGGATGCTGATCAGTTCACTCAGATGTGCACTGGCGGCACACTGATTTAATAAAAATGAGGAAATCATAGATGTCATTTTAATCATTCACTCATTCATTAAAACAAAAATTAAGCATTTGAGACTTTAATGTAAAACAAAACAACAAAAAACAACAAAGAGAGAAAAAAAAACCAAAGAGAGAGAAAATAACAGGACAACCAAAAAGAACATAAAAAAAAAACTCAAAACAGAAATAAAGAAATAAAACAAAAAAGCCCAAAACACACCAGAAAGAGAAAAGAGAAAGAAAACAAATAAATAAATAAACACACAAGAAAACTATGAAAAAAAGAACACAAAAAGAGAATAAAAGAAATAAAAACAAAACAGGACACCAAAAGGACAGGACAATACAATACAAGATAATACAGTACAATAAAATAAATACTAAAAACAAAATACTATATATTTAATAGAAACAAAGGCAAACAATACTAGACTAAAAAAAAAACACACTAAAGATTTAAATAAAACTAAAATACTAAACACACAAACACACGTATGTATGTATACAACCACCCAAAACACAACATAACTTTAAAAAATAAATAAAAAAATATATATATTATAAATGCAATAGAAATAAAAATAAAGAAAATGCAAAAAATGTAGAAATAAAATACTAAATCATTTAACAGTATATATATGCGAGATATGCACTGGGCAGTCATAAAAAGAGACATCTGAACATTTGGAAACATTTATAAAATTCATGATTTATAAGATTTATGACTATGACCATAAATATGATCAATTTTAATCACTTAATGCAAGTGAGCAGCCCTTCAGCATTTTCATATATTTATTAAAAACAAACATTAGATGTCCTCTAGTGATGGCTGAAGTCAGTGTTTCTCAAAACTAAAACCAGACTGTGCAGGAATTTCCATCACCATGCTAGAGTGTTGTGAATGGTTGATATGGAATTGCTAAATAGTTGCTAGGAATTTCTGTGTGATCAAGTCAAAAGAGCCCACACCCTGATCATGCGATAGCTAGATATGGCTACAGTCCCTCCTTCAGTGTAGATCTATTGGTATGGGATTCATCCAGCTGTTCTAACATCCACCAGGCAAAAATCTTATGTCTGATCACTTAGAAAAGTAAAAACACACCTTTCTACTGCAAGCTGTATGAGAATTCATTCATGTCTGAATAACATGATAAAGTTTTCAGGTTAAAGAAAAACAATCTCAAATTTTTTGAAATAGGTTCAAGAAATTTATTGTTGTATTGTAATCTACACTGAAACATTGTAGATGCAATATATTGCAGAAACATTGTTTGTCGCTGACAGAAGCATGCAGTGAAAGGGCTTAAATAAATTACTGCCTACAAACATAACAGCTTAACAATCCCATCAGCATTTTAATGAAAATAAACTCTTTTATACAATACAAAAAAAGAAAAAGGGACGAAAAATAAATAAAGCTGTTCCACATTGCCAGAGAGAACATCTTAAATTGTTAAATTATTATGAACACACATTAGTGGAATGTAATCCTCGTCAACTGTTAGAAAACCTGCAGACTCGGTAAATGAGTAATGATAATTATCATCATGAATTATTTTAAGCTAAAAATATAAAATCTAATATTTTAAATGCATGCTTTTTAATTTGACAAATTAGAAGTGTTTTGTTTCCATAGTTTATATTTTAATGTATACATATATACACACACAATTATAATAATTATTATTTTATTTAAAAGTACAATGATAGTTATTTTGAATACATTATATATATATAAAATAGTCATTTAATTATTACAATAATAATAGTTATTTTGATTAAATAATAAACAAATAAAATGTAATAATAATAATAATAATAATAATAATTATTATTATTATAATAAGACGCAGTAAAAACATTATGGGTTTTATAACTCTGGCTGGTACCTGTGGTCACTGCTTGTCGTCAGTCTTCTGCTCGACTCCTTTGGCTTGGCTGGTGTGCTTGACTTTTGACTTCTGTTTGCATGGGAGCTCAGAGGGTCGGACCCTCTTCCTCTGGATGTGGGCCCCCAGGGCAGCCGCTGTCGGGCTTGAGTTTGGGGTGGAGGGCTCTGAGTTGGGCGGGGTTGATGGTGGAGAGGTGGGGTGGTGTGGTGACGGGACAGGACTGCACACTTGACCTGTAGAAAACATGATGGTGCTTCAGCAAAAGCACTGTCCTGACAAGAAAAACTCTTCGTTTGATTTGAGGGCCAAAGGGATGATTAGTTATTAACATATTAAGGGTGAAGTCTGCTTTAAGCATTTATTTTCTTTGGCATTGTAAAACTTTTTTTGTGAGATCAGGGCGTGTAGTTACATTTTGCTTTACAGATAAAAACAAAGCAAAGAAAAGAAAACTGAAAGCTGCACAGTGAATCCTGTTAGTATGATGATTGATGAGCCTCACCGGCAGTGCTGCTGCTGGCCTGAGAGTCATCTGACATGGGAGGCTCCGCCTCTTCCTGGATCGTAGGAACTGAGGCGAGCAAACCTACCATGAAAAGAGAGAAAGAGGCTTAGTTGCAATTTTTTGTAAACGCTAATTAAGTTGCCATCTGCATACAAATTCATTAATGTACAGAGGTCACATTATGTAAAATCAAATCTTTCTGATGGACTGGGTTGAAAATTTAGAGATTCTCTATTTTATCTGTTAGTAAAATGCTGCAACACATTGAAATCACCAGGACTTATGTAGCAAGACCTCTTTTAGTCTTAACAAGTAATGTTCTCAGTCTTGTTTTTTCTTGTGCAATGTTGACCAGTTATCTTGTGTTTTATCTGTTAAAATGGCAGTTTTTAAAAGCTTTACAATCATTTAATTTCATTGCATCATTTACAATCAATTTTTAGCTAAAATGGCCTCTGCAAATGTACTATTTTCCATTTTGTGTAGGCAAGCATGATTGCTTCTGTATGCAGTTTAACTATCTACAAAAACAAACGGAATCATTACAGTGCTTAGAGCTACTGCTTCAAAGAAATTTAGTGTGAAATGACAGTAAATTACTGTACTGTAAATGATTGCAACAGCTTAAACAACCCCATACACAAGCACTCAATATCATCAGAATGATATTTTAGTAATAAACTTTATGTCATCATTGATGGGTCCACTGTGTGTTACTCACTAAGGCCTCTGTAGTGCGACAGCTGCTGGTAAACCTGCTTCATTCGTTCGATGTTGAGCCGGCTGCTCTCGGCATGGTTGATCATAGGTTTAGGATAGTCCACACCCACAATGCAGTTGGCCTCTTTCTGCACCGATTCTGGAGCGTTCCATGGCTCGTAGATGTAGCGGTTAGGATAGTCTTTTAACTTCGGGATGTACCTCCTGTATGTGAGAATGTACAAGACGGTTTTATATCAGACACAAATAATGGCAAAATAAACACTTACCTAATTTAATTATATACATTTTATTACAAATTATGTTATCAGTATTAAAAAAATCTAATTTAATAATTTCTTAGTATTCGTTAGTATTTTCCAAGGTATTCTTCTGATATTCTTTATTCACAATGTCACAGCAGCTCTTTTGATTATGCACAGTGGAAAGGCCTGAACCTGTGACGGTTTACATAAGCCTTTATGCAACACAAATCTGCAAAACTCTTAAAATATAACATCTGCCAGTGATGTATGACTTGCTTAAGAGTGGTTCAGGGCTGGTTTGTGTACCTGATGTAGTCTCCACTGGGATCCGTCCTGCGGCCGAAGCCCACGGGACAGTAACAGTGGAAGAACTGCTGGAAGAACGCACTGCAGGAAAGCCACATCCAGCTGCCTGCGTTCACGCTCCAGTCCGCATCCAACAACAACTCCTCAAATACCTGAAGGAAAGAGAACGAGATTAAGAGAGGAAAAAGAAATAAAAAAAAAGAAAAGGCGGCAAAGTTGTGCCATCTCATTTACTTTCATTCCACTTTCCCAGCTGATCCACAAGTCTCCGCGAGTGAGGAAACAGGCTACGGCATGTCTGGCCAGGTGGTGGATCCAGCCTTCCTGTCTTAGCTGGGTCATGATGGCATCAATCCAAGGGAACCCTGTCCGACCCTCTGCCCATTTAGCCAGGGCCTCGGGATTGTGATCCCAGGGTATCTGAACGCAGATGGGGTTTCCCTCCATATGGTCAAAGTTGGGGTTGTTGGTGCCTGCCGTGTAGAAAAACTCTCGCCACAGCAGCTGGCCAAAGAGCGAGAGGGGTGGACTGGAGCGTCTCCGCAGCTGGACAAGTGCAAGAGGTCATGAAAATAGTCACAAAATATTATTTTTACTATGCTGTGGCAGTTCTACAGTAGGTCTTTTATAACAATACATGCATATTCAACAGGACGCATCGATAATTATTTCTTATACCATAATTACTGCCACATTTGAATTTTCTATTTCAAAGCCAACTTCATGAAGTATCCACCTTTCATACTTTTATGAGTACTGAAGTTCCCATGTATGGTTTTGCATCACTATAAGGACCAACTTTTCCATTTTATTAGTTTTGTAAATAAATTCAAATTTAGACACATTTCAACATCAACCTTTAGATCAAAAGGACTTTTAAGACCACACGAAAAATAAATTCAGTCAAGTGTGTCCAGAACTTTGGCAAGTAGCATGTAATTATATATATTTTTTTTTTTGTGGCATCCCCAAGGCTAGATTCTAGGCCCCTTTATCATTCAACTATGATAAAGTATTATCATATATCATATATATTAATGCATCTATTGGCAAGTGTAATTATTTGATTTGAACATCCACTTTCATCATTTCGATACAAGCTACCGTAGAATATTAAACTTCCACTTCTCTAAACTACCAACAATGCAATCAAATCTTTCTGATGGACTGGGTTGAAAATTTAGAGATTCTCTATTTTATCTGTTAGTAAAATGCTGCAACACCTTGAAATCACCAGGACTTATGTAGCAAGACCTCTTTTAGTCTTAACAAGTAATGTTCTCAGTCTTGTTTTTTCTTGTGCAATGTTGACCAGTTATCTTGTGTTTTATCTGTTAAAATGGCAGTTTTTAAAAGCTTTACAATCATTTAATTTCATTGCATCATTTACAATCAATTTTTAGCTAAAATGGCCTCTGCAAATGTACTATTTTCCATTTTGTGTAGGCAAGCATGATTGCTTCTGTATGCAGTTTAACTATCTACAAAAACAAACAGAATCATTACAGTGCTTAGAGCTACTGCTTCAAAGAAATTTAGTGTGAAATGACAGTAAATTACTGTACTGTAAATTATTGCAACAGCTTAAACAACCCCATACACAAGCCCTCAATATCATCAGAATGATATTTTAGTAATAAACCTTATGTCATCATTGATGGGTCCACTGTGTGTTACTCACTAAGGCCTCTGTAGTGCGACAGCTGCTGGTAAACCTGCTTCATTCGTTCGATGTTGAGCCGGCTGCTCTCGGCATGGTTGATCATAGGTTTAGGATAGTCCACACCCACAATGCAGTTGGCCTCTTTCTGCACCGATTCTGGAGCGTTCCATGGCTCGTAGATGTAGCGGTTAGGATAGTCTTTTAACTTCGGGATGTACCTCCTGTATGTGAGAATGTACAAGACGGTTTTATATCAGACACAAATAATGGCAAAATAAACACTTACCTAATTTAATTATATACATTTTATTACAAATTATGTTATCAGTATTAAAAAAATCTAATTTAATAATTTCTTAGTATTCGTTAGTATTTTCCAAGGTATTCTTCTGATATTCTTTATTCACAATGTCACAGCAGCTCTTTTGATTATGCACAGTGGAAAGGCCTGAACCTGTGACGGTTTACATAAGCCTTTATGCAACACAAATCTGCAAAACTCTTAAAATATAACATCTGCCAGTGATGTATGACTTGCTTAAGAGTGGTTCAGGGCTGGTTTGTGTACCTGATGTAGTCTCCACTGGGATCCGTCCTGCGGCCGAAGCCCACGGGACAGTAACAGTGGAAGAACTGCTGGAAGAACGCACTGCAGGAAAGCCACATCCAGCTGCCTGCGTTCACGCTCCAGTCCGCATCCAACAACAACTCCTCAAATACCTGAAGGAAAGAGAACGAGATTAAGAGAGGAAAAAGAAATAAAAAAAAAGAAAAGGCGGCAAAGTTGTGCCATCTCATTTACTTTCATTCCACTTTCCCAGCTGATCCACAAGTCTCCGCGAGTGAGGAAACAGGCTACGGCATGTCTGGCCAGGTGGTGGATCCAGCCTTCCTGTCTTAGCTGGGTCATGATGGCATCAATCCAAGGGAACCCTGTCCGACCCTCTGCCCATTTAGCCAGGGCCTCGGGATTGTGATCCCAGGGTATCTGAACGCAGATGGGGTTTCCCTCCATATGGTCAAAGTTGGGGTTGTTGGTGCCTGCCGTGTAGAAAAACTCTCGCCACAGCAGCTGGCCAAAGAGCGAGAGGGGTGGACTGGAGCGTCTCCGCAGCTGGACAAGTGCAAGAGGTCATGAAAATAGTCACAAAATATTATTTTTACTATGCTGTGGCAGTTCTACAGTAGGTCTTTTATAACAATACATGCATATTCAACAGGACGCATCGATAATTATTTCTTATACCATAATTACTGCCACATTTGAATTTTCTATTTCAAAGCCAACTTCATGAAGTATCCACCTTTCATACTTTTATGAGTACTGAAGTTCCCATGTATGGTTTTGCATCACTATAAGGACCAACTTTTCCATTTTATTAGTTTTGTAAATAAATTCAAATTTAGACACATTTCAACATCAACCTTTAGATCAAAAGGACTTTTAAGACCACACGAAAAATAAATTCAGTCAAGTGTGTCCAGAACTTTGGCAAGTAGCATGTAATTATATATATTTTTTTTTTTGTGGCATCCCCAAGGCTAGATTCTAGGCCCCTTTATCATTCAACTATGATAAAGTATTATCATATATCATATATATTAATGCATCTATTGGCAAGTGTAATTATTTGATTTGAACATCCACTTTCATCATTTCGATACAAGCTACCGTAGAATATTAAACTTCCACTTCTCTAAACTACCAACAATGCCATAAAATAGCAATGACTTACCTTCATGTAAAGTTCCCGCAGATTGTAGTAGAACACGCGACAAGACAGACATCCAAATCGTAGGTAAGGACTAAGTCCAGTTGGGCTTGCGAACAGTGATTGAGCGGTTATTCTAGGCCTCTCGAAATTTGCTACCCAGGCCTGCATCAAAATAACATGATTCAATCAAATATTAAAAAAAGAAAAATAAATAAAAATTAAAAATAACTATTCTGACAGATATATATAACCATTCATTCATTATTACGCTCTAGAAATACACTGGAGTTAAAAAAAACAACTACATTTTATTTAAAAATACATAACTGTATTTCTTGTTAATAATTAAGTAGACAACAGTCATTATTAAAACCTATTCTAAATTATTTAACTTTATGAAGTATCACCATGTCTCACCTTTCTGTCCAAGTGTTTATTTAATCTTTCCAGGGCTTCAGTCTCACCACCCTTCCATACATGTGAGCTGTCACCCTGAGTCTTAAAACCCAGCTCCTCGAGAGAGGGTACGCCATAACGTTCATCATGATTGTCCAAGATCTGCGTCCGACACCTGGCCATCTGCTCTTGAGTGATGGTCGGCAATGGTTTCCTGGGAAGTTCGAGTCGATTTACAATGGCTTGAAATCTCTTGAAAGTGAGAGGGGGGCTGTGGTTGTTCATTTCTATGATCCTGAGGGAAAAGCAAAAAACATGTCTCAGATTTCACTGCCTAAAAGCAGCTATTTTCTCTCCAAGGCTGAATTTTAACAGACCTTAGAAGGGGAAATGTCTTTGTTTTGAACCATTTTGGTTTTGTCTTGTTTTAGAGTAGATAAATAATTTTCAAAGGCATCACCGAGTTAATTTTCGGTAAGAGTTTGATCCAGCTGATCACACAAGCTGTCACAGGCCCAGTAGGTTTTACATTTGTGGATAAAACATCCGTTGCAAATTACACTACTGTTATATTACTGTAAATTTGGGGAAAGTAAGTTTTTTTTTTTTTTTGCGGAAAAGAATACTTTTGAGCAAGGACATTATTATAAACGCTGTTCTTTTAAACATTATCATTATAAAAGTCCTGAAAATTACAGTGGATCACGGTTTCCACTAAAATATTAAGCAGCACAACGGTTTTCTTTACTGGTAATAATAATATATCTTTCTTGAGCACCAAATCAGCATACTGGAATGATTTCTGAAGGATAATGTGACACTGAAGACTGGAAATTCAGCTTTGCCATCACAGGAACGAATAACATTTCAAAATAAATTCAAACAGAAAACTTGAAATTGTAATAATCTCACAACATAGCAGTTTTTTTATTTTTATATAAATGTAGACTTTGGGAGCATAAAAGACTTGAAAAGCATTCCTATAAAACATCTGGTGGTATAGTAATTTAGTGTTATTACCAAAAGGCCTGAAAAAGAAAACCATTGCTAGTCATTTTGAATATCCTTTCACACATCACTCAGGTAGTCGTCACAAACGGGCGCTGTGCAACTCAGCTGTTTAGAAGTAGTGTACTGTAGGCTAATTCTGTGACTTTTTGGTTATACAAGCGCACTTTGAAGGGCTGATGTGCTGGTGCCGTCACCCCCTTGCATAAACAGCACTATTAACCTGCCAAAGGCTTTGTACAAGCCACTTAAATGATGTATTGCCGTGCTCAAGAGAGAGAAGACTGCTCTGATGGCAAGAAAATTATATCTTTCATAGCAAACTACTCTAAAATGCCGGTGTAAATCAATTAGGACTCAGATGTTTAGCTGAATACTGAATTATTGGAGCATCTAAATGAGAACTTTAAGAGCTGTGGGATGCACTGAACTTTATTACTTTAGGTTGGGGATTTGAATAGTCCCCTAAACCCTAAATAGTAAAGAGATGACTGCCTTGGCAAGCATAGCTAATAAACACTTATATTACTCATGAAGTTCCCACACATTTCTAGCAATGAATTTCCATGATTTTCCAGCTGTTCATGATTACTGAATAAGGAAAATGAGGTCTAGGATTTGAAAAATTATTTTATAGCAGTTTTATATTTTTAGCAGTTATATATATTTAGCAGTTTTTTTAACAGTTAAGCATAAGTAGAAAAATTTCACTATAGAACTTCATGAATCTTCTGTGACTTAAAGATTTTATGCATTTCCATGTCATTTTCTGTGAAATTTGATTTTAACATCAAACTGCTTTCATTATATTGGTTGAAACTGAGTTTAAGTGTAACATTTTCGGAGTTAGTGTAAAATTTTGTGAGAGATTTTGTGTTACTGAATTTAAATTAAAAAAAGTAACTTTCAAGTGTATAATAAAAGAATAATGTATATAGTTAATTACATATTAGAACATATACACTACCGTTCAAAAGTTTGCAACTTAATAAAAGTTATTTTAATCAATTTCATTTTATTCAGCAAGATACATTAAACCGATCAATGTGACAATAAAAGTCAAAATGTCTTTTTGAAATGCTATTCTTTTGAACTTTCTATTCACCAAAGAATCCTGAAACAAAATTGCAGTTTTCCCAAAAATACTTAGAAAAAAACATTTACAACATTGATAAGAAATGTTTCTTGACCACCAAATCAGCATATTACAATGATTTCTGAAGGATCATGTGACACTGAAGACTGCGATAGTGGCTGCTTAACATTTAGCTTTGCCATCACAGGAATAAATTATACTTGAAAATATATTCAAAAGGTAAAAAAATTAATTTAAATTATAATAATATTTCACTATATAAAAATGTTTTTTAATGTTTTTACTGTGTTTGAGACTTCTTCCAAAATTATATATATATAAAAAAAAAATTAAAAAAAAAAGACTGGTCCCAAACTTTTGAATGGTTGTGTACTTGTAATAAAAAAATACATCAATTATCACACTTGGTAACCGGCCCACAAAAAAAAAAAAAAAAAAAAAAACACGAAGAGGAAGATGATGTAACCCCCTGACAACCTAAAACACATATCTCTAAGACTAAAGCAACATGAGGTTCGTCATCCTCCATGGAGACCATCTCCAAACACTTTGTGATTTTGTTAGTCTTATCATTATAAAACAGAAACAACTTAAACCGTGATTTCCACCAAACTAGGGCTGCATGATAAATCGCACGCGATATTTAACGCGCATCTTATGAGTAAAGCCAGTTCTGTAATCAGCGGTAAATCTCTATCACGTGCTGGCTTTCACATTGAGCAGCATTAACTACACAGAGCCGTTGTTCACTGACGAGCAGCGCAAAACCACGTTCATATTCGTGCGATTTTTTGCGCAGCTCGTCAGTGAACATCTGTTGTTATACAGCGGCTGTTGCCAAAACAAAAAAGTTTGCAGTTTCTCCATAGTTTTTGAGAAAAATGTAGACTAAACCCTGACACAATTATTGTGCATTTCTGAAACAAGTCATCACTTGCAGCTGAACCGACTAATGATAACTGACCACTAACATCACTGTAGATATATTCAAAATGAGCTTATGCTACATCAGATCCACTAACCATAGTAAACACTTAGACATGCTGAAAAACTCAGCATTGCTTTATGCACCAGTATATCATCAGACCTGGTGGACAATTTCCATGTTTCATGTTATCATAGACATACCTATTTAGATTTCAAAAGCCAAAGTGAGACTAAAAGGCACACGACAAATATCCTGAGAGAAATACAAACCTTGAAGAGTCTTGGGAAGACCTCTGCTGGCTGTCCTCGCGCCACAAAAAGCCTTGAATTCAGTTTTCTCAAACTTGTGTCCAAATCCTCTAAAGACTCCAGTAAAAATCTGCCAGAGAGAAAATGTGAAATATTATAATATTTACAAAAGTTTATATGAATATGCCATGACCTTGTAGTAGAGCTACATTTGAGTAGTTTACCAGGAGTTATTTCTCAATAATGTAGTATACATATTGTATATTTTTTTCTGTCAACATTTGAGACAAATTGAAATGACATATTTTAAGTACAACTGCAAAGGATTTACTGCAAATTGCAATATTATTAGCACCTTGCACTGATCACCCAAATCTCCATTGGTTATTGATTCAGGTTTTCACTGGACAACTTTAAATACCATTCAACCTCTGACATTTCATAAACTTCAGCTCGCTACTCCTAACATACTATTTAAAATAGGTAGCAGTGAATAAAATCTGTTTTGAACTAATCGGTCAAGAGAATTAATTGATCTCGCTCGTTTTCTTCCGAATGAATTACAAATGTGTAAAAATACTGGCGTAGCGATGTCACCTGCCGAAATGATCACTAAACAAATCCTGCTGAATTGAAAAGAATCGAGTGAAAGGGATGAATCAACCCCCCCCCCCCCCCCCCAAATAAGAATCTTATAACTGAACAAACATTTAATAAAACTCTTAATGTCCGATTCAGCATGCACCACATTTATTGTAATAAATTTTAATAATTCAAAAGACTGACGGCGTTTTGACCGATTAACTACATGACAATGCTCTGATACACATTCCATTAAAATATTTTTAGTAAGTTACTGGGTTAGGCCTATTCATTAATTCACACAATTCATCTTACAGCATACGTGGTAAAGGTGCATTCACGGCATATCGTAATTACCGTGATTACGAGATACCAACTCGTAAAAAGCGTTCACGTCCTCGTAGAACTCGTAAGGTTAATTACAACTTGTGAACCGGGAGTTTTCTGAGAGCTACAACTTGTACCACCTGACCACCTCAGATTCATTAGGCGCTATGTTTAGGCATTGCCTACATTCACATGGACATCAGTAATCTAATTATTTACCTTATTCTAAATAAGCCAATATTATGATTATGGTGTTTACATGAGTTGCTTTTAGAATACTCCTTTCATGTTCCAGTTTTACATTTAATAGTAACGTTACATAGTTCGATTAACGGCACACATGATGTGGTGAAGAGCAGCTTTTTTTCAACTAAGGCAAATAGCCAAATTAAAATCTATGCTCTCGTTTAAGGATTTGGAGATAGTTACTCACGCCTTCATCACTTCCAGACTTGATTATTGCAATGCACTTTATATGGGTCTCAATCATTCATCACTGAATAGCTTGCAGTTAGACCAGAATGCAGCCGCGAGGTTGCTGACTGGTACTAAGAGGAGAGAAAGCATTTCTCCTGTCCTAGCATCTCTTCATTGGTTACCGGTGCAGCATAGGATCCATTTTAAGATTTTATTATTTGTGTATAAAGCATTAAATGATCTAGCCCCATCATACTTGTCCGAACTTCTCAGCTATCAGCAATCCTCTCGCTCTCTCAGATCCTCTGATAAACTTTTCTTTGATATACGTCACTCTCGCTTGAAATTTAAGGGGGATCGGGCTTTTTCTGTAGCCGGTCCTCGTCTATGGAACAGCATACCTCTGGACATTAGATCTGTGCCTTCCCTTCCTGTTTTTAAATCCCGCCTGAAGACTTATCTGTATTCCTTGGCTTTTGGATGAAATGTATGTTTGTGTATGTTAATGTGTTTTGTATTGATTATGTGTTTTTGAGTCATTTCTTTTTATTCTCTTAATCTCTATATTTACTTTATTTGTATATGTACAGCACTTTGGCATACACAAGCTGTTTTTAAATGTGCTATATAAATAAACTGACCTTGACACATCACTATGTCCCCCACCAGAATTTCACATATAAACAAAGTTCGTCTTCGTGATGATGCCATGTAGTATTTAATTTTATGAAAGCTTCAATTGC